TTATTATGCATAATCACATCAAAATCAGTAAGCAATGGCGGATAAAATGTCACTTTAGGAGGGCACAATTATGATCAAAGGGTCACTTTGCAGGGCAGTATCCATTAAGTCTTGCACCCCAGTAGCAGTCATTATCATACGGCTGTCCATCCAATAGCCAATACTTTGCACCTGCAAACTGCTTTTCTTTTATACCTTGCTTCCACAGTGCACAGGAAAAGCTAACAAAACTTCGGCATTTCGGATCTATCGGGTAGCATTTGATGGAAATGCTGGGAGTGACCACCATATCAGACAATTGCTTTGCACTTTCTTCACAAGCATTTGCAGTAAGCCGAAAGCGTACTGTACTTCCGAACTGAAGTACAGCACGCTAAATGCAGTTGAATGTTAATTCGGCAATGTGACTACTCCGTGCTGTGGTTCTATGTCATTCATCTATTTCGGCACTATGCACGCATCTTCTTTTACGTTACTGAAAAAACTCCCTGTTCGATCGAGAACTCTAAATGACTTGCACTATTTCCGTTTTTAATTCGTTTGCAGTATGTACGAAAACACTACTGAAGTGGTGGATAAATTTTAATTGTGATTCACACGCCAACATGAATTTTGAGCGACAAAAATTTATGGCCATCACTCGATCGGAATTCTCAGTTGCAGTGCTGCTATAGTTTCGCTCGTAACAACAAATGTGAATGTGTAGAATAAGCCTTGCGTGCCTAGAGGCATGCAAATGCAGTATATTAGTAGGTAAACTGCTTAACAATCCCTCACCGCCTCTAATTTATACGGCCTTACTCTATGCAGATGTGAGTGCCTTGCTTTTAACCAGCTAAACTGAGTGACAAAACTTCGCCTCAAGCAGCACCAGCTCACCGAATAAACAAAATTACACACAATTTTCTGAGTATTAAATAAAATTGCTCTAACTTGGAAAAGGCTTTTTACAGCCGTAGCATAGAAAACATTTCTGATGCCAGACGTGGTCCATCGCCTCCAAATACGTTTCGGCTATTGCATACCCACACTCTGTGAATCTTTCCTCAATAAGTTATCTTTGTTTAGTTGAAATTTCTCACAAAATAACTCTCGGCATTGGAAATCTCAAAGAATCCAGTTTGGTCTTTCAGTCTGACTCAGATGAGGAATTATCCCCAATCGGGTGATCAACAAATTCTTTTGTGCAAAGCTAGAAATCATAAACATGTATGTTGGCCTGAATTTTTGAAGCGAGCCTTGTGCTGATGAAAGATTCGGCGAGATCGATCCGAAGCCGATTTCAGCTAATCAGTGTTTTCATACACTAAAAAAAAAAAAAGAAAATGCGACAAGCTGTAGAGCTTTTTAATAAAACATTGATAAAACTGAACTATCGCAGGGGCCTGGAGGCTGCAGTATACATCCAGGGCACATCACATCGCCCTCATGCATGTAATAATCCCGAGTTATCACTGCTGCACAGCGCGAGCAACGGAAGTGATCAGGATGCCATACACAGTTGTTCGCGATCAGTCCCTCTGGACCAACAGGCTCTGCAAAAAGTGTCTCTTTCCTGAACAGCCTTGATGATTTTTTGCTCTCCAAAAAATTCCCATTACAATTACACGCCAGGAAAAAGTTACTCTTGAAGCAGTCTAGACACACTCCGGGGATTTAGAAAAAGAGCAAATGCTGCCCAGAATTGATGCTTTCCAGCTAAATCGCCCCTTGAAAAAACGGTGCTCGGCCCAATTTTACTGGTCCTTTCCCAGCGTTTAAGTAGCTGAAGTAGTACAAGAAGACCTTCATCCAGTTGTTTCCCTAAGGGGCAGCTCGATAACCCCGTAACTGATCTGCACACTCCTATAAACCATTTTCTGACTCCATGTCCTGTGCCGACAATTTCACTGCCGCGTCACCGCAAAAGTGGACCGGAACATCACCAACGGCTCTTAAAACCAAATGGCAATGACGGAACACAGAGCGTACGCTAACAGCCTTAATCAGCTGTAGCCAGGAGTTGATCGGACACGCTCTCGCTATTTAACCGCCCTATGCTCAACTTTAATTTCCAGAATCCAACATACTGGAACATTTGCCGCACTTCGATTCCATAATCTCTTTGTCCCGACCGAACACGTTGCGAAGCCGCGTAAAAACTGCTCCATGTTCAGTCCTGCACCGCTTAAATTATGGCCCTGAAATTTACATAAAAAATTTTTGCATTGGAGAGCTCAGTTCGACTGCGCCATTCTAATAGGACCAAAGCAGCTTCACATCCAAACTCCAAGCGGTGATGCTTTGAGGCGAATCTTAGGCATCAAAATCCCGGGCATTCCGTATTCTATTCCAATTTCTGAGGCATTTTTTAAATTTAGCGGCAAATCATTGGCCAGTGGGAAGTAACTGCCCAGTTGAAAGGACTGACAGGATTAACCACAAGAATAATCCTAGCTGTTTGTGCTCGTGCGATTCAACATTCACAAGCACAACGGAATTTTTAAAAAAATTAACAAGGCCAGGACAGCCAATGTTTCGATTCCGATGTGACTTAGCGTCGGTGCACTCCACA